ACACACACACACACACACACACACACACACACACACACACACACACACTGGGGACTGGAGAGATGGGTCAGTGGTTAGGAGCATTGGGTTTCCAGGACTTGGGTTTGATTCCCAGCACCCACATGACACCTCACAACTGTCTATACCTCTAGTTCTAAGGGACTTGATATCCTATTCTGGTGTCTGTGAGCACCAAGCACACACAGAGTACACAGACATACACACAGGCAAAACACCCATACACACAAAGATAAACAAACAACAATAATTACTGGTGTCTTTTGGATGCATGCCATGATAATACCAACAACAATTCTTATGGTTGTTGTTGGTATTAGTGTGTTGGGTGCATTCCAGTGGAGGTCAGAAGACAATTCTGTGGTGTTGATTTTTCTCTTCCACCTGGACTTGGGTTCTAAGAACCACATTCAGGTTACCAGGCTTGTACAGAAAGTACCTTTACCAGCTGAGCCATTGCACCAATCCAATTTTGCCATTTTCAGAACCAATGTTCATAAGATGTTGGCTTTATTTTATAGGCACCAATACATTTTCAAACACATAGCTAATTCTTTGACTCCAGTCACACCTCCTTCACTCTGTGCCGAACCTGTGTATTATCTGGGCAGATACTCCAGGGAAAAATGGAGCTGTTGGCCAGGACTTGTGAGCTCAGGTTAGAGATTAAGTTAGACCCAAAGCATGCTGAAATGATGTGGCCAACAGTCTCCAAGGTAAGAGAGAGAGTGCACAAAAGAGAAGGTAAGCATGCATAGCTTATCACAGATGCTGAGTCTTCAATAGCTTGGGGTCTTTAAACAGCAAGAGAAGGATGTTTGTGGATTTACCAGAGCCTGAAAAGCAGTAAAATTGAAATAAACTTTTTTTTTTTCTAAAATAATGAATGGAGGCTTTTTTTTTTTTTAAATTGCAATTTGTAATATGCTCTTCAGGTTTAGAACTTCTGGTAATTGATATTGTACAGTATTTGATACTAGGATAAATGTAGCATGTGAGAAAAACCTGTGAAAGACTGTTTTTAAACAATAATTTAGAGACACAACTTGCATCTTACAGGCAATAGCACCTACCTGTGTATGTCAGATAGATGACACTAAGGAACACAGCACCTGCAGCTAGTGAGACTCCCAAAAAGAAAAGGGTCTGGAACTCCTGCTTTGTCAACCGGTCTCTCAGATACTGCAAAAAAGCGTAAGCTTGCAGCAATGCAAAGACACCTAGTTAAAGAGAAAGATCATGTGAATACAACACAGCGTTTTCCCAATGCCATTTCAACACTTTCACTCACAAAGCTTAGGAGATGCCATATCCTTCACACCAGAGATTAGTTATTCCATCTACCAACATTCCCTGTGTCAACTGACAGTCAACCTACAATTAACACATCTGAAAAAAACCTACTGCACATTTTTTCCCAAAGTGATCAGAATGTACCAGACAAGAAAAGCAGGCAACTGTGTGTACTGACACTACCATGCATCACTGTTGACTTAAAACATTATAGTTATTTCTGGGCTGATGTGCTGGCTATTTTTTTTTTTTTTTTGTCAACCTGACAGAGGCTGGAGTTATCTGAGAAGGGGGAACCACAATTGAGAAAATCACTCCATTAGACTGGCCCATGGGGTACTGTCTTGATTAATAATTGGTGTGGGAGGGCTCAGCTCACTGTGGGCAGTGCCACCCCTAGGAAGGTGGTCCTGGGTTGTATAGGAAAGCAGGCTGAACAAGCCATGGGGAGTCATGAAGCACTACCCATACATGCCATCAGCTACAGCTCCTGCCCTGATTTCCCTCAGTGATGGTCTGTGAGCAAGCCATTTAGATCAAATGAATCCTTTCCTCCTCAAGTAGGTTTTGATCAGTGTTTATCACAGCAATATAAAGCAAAGTAGAACAATTAACATTACTGAAGTCTCTTAGAACAGGATATAATAAAGTAGCTGGAAACCCATTTTAATACCAACATAGAAGAAAAAATGATTTCATGGTCACACACATTTTAAGTGGACAAAACATTTGACAATGTCCTTTCATCTCAACTTCAAAAACTTTTCCATACCTGCAGCTGCCATGTGCTCGCTTGTTCTGATTGGTTGAAATCCCACAAAAGGTATCTGCATGGATAATATTAAACCCACAATGTAGAAAGTGCTATATGCTATAAAAACAAAACAGGAAACAAGGTAATTTACTACTGCCATTAAGTACTCAACACAAATATATTTATGTCTTATTTTTAGAAAAGTTTTAACACAACTTAAGAACAGACTCTTAAAGTGACTGATTTGATGTGCATTATGAATCATAAATATTCTATCTACTAAGTGTTCTTTGGTAGACTTCAGTTAGGTTTCTGTCAGAGACTTCCTTTCTAGAAAACGGAATCAAGTTTTTAAAAATGCACCAATAATAATCATTGATAGAAGCCAAGAAACTATACAATTACATGTGTATTAAGTAACTATCATTGCTGTGGTTACTAATCCAAAATATTCACAGCTTCACAAACACCTAACATTATCATTAACTTACAAGAGTATCTGCTGGTCTCAAAGGGACCGAGTATTGTATGTCTTCCGGACAGTCTCTTAATGTTCTTTGTACAGAGGTTTAAGGGTTTAGAAAGGATATACAACTGGCTTTCTGCATGATGGAATAGAAGCCAGTCAGGGAAGTGAGAGTCTAACACAGAGGCTGTTTGCTCTCCACAGTGGTCCTCCTAAGCTTAGGTTGATTCTAATAATTGAACTGCTGAAGAGAGATGACAATCTGTGTTAAAAATGTTTTTCCCTTACACGCCACAGATCAGGATTAGGCAATCTGGCTAGAAAGTATTTGGAATCACTGAAAGTAAAATTTCAGAGTTGTAAAAAGACTATCTTAAATAAGCTGATGCGAAAATATGATTTTATTATAAACTTTATTTACATCACTTTCATAAATGTACTTGATATTCAATTTGGGGCAAATAAACTACTATAAAAAGGGAAGTCTAGGGTGCATTGGAATAGAAGCTGTCGCTCTATCACCTTCGTCTGCTATGCTGTGTAGCAGTGCAGAGCATACACTTCACCTCTCCTGCCTAATGTAGTTATATTTATTTACTTTTAAAGGAAGTCCACTTATAGAAGGTAAATTTCGGGCTATTAGTTTAAACTACTTTAAAACAACATATAGTTGTAACTATATGTTACAACTACTTCCCAAGCTGTTTTGTAAGTGATGACTATTGTGTTGGGAAGGTAAGTTAGTGAATCTAATAGAAAGGGCCAGAGCTAATGGAGGCCACAGCTCCACCATCCAACCACAGTGAACTTTGCAGACAAATGCTGAGTGGTACAGTTCTTTGTGAGATACCCAAATAAAATCCAAGTTCTCACAATTCTGAATCTGCTCATGTAGTCGAGAGGCCTTCTAGTAACCTTCTTTTACTAATTAATCTTTGTTGAAGCCGTGACACAGACGAAGCAGAAAGGGGGAAGAGAGAGGGAGGGGGGAAACAAGGTTACCATGTTACCTCCAAGTATGTAAAATCAAATATTTTAGTTCCGTCAATACACAACAAAAGCTGGGTATGATCATTAACACCCCTCCCCCCACTTAGAGCCCCAGATGCACTACTATCAATATGCATTCTACAGGGTAGAGCTGAGAATCAAATCTAAATATGAGCATACACCAACACCACCAGAAAAGCGTATAGGAGGGATAAGCTTTCTTCAATGAAGCCTGCACACACCAAACAGTGTAATCACCTCTTAGAAATGAAAACACAGAATCCAGCAAGGCTTACAGGACTTTAAATATAATGGACAATCCAAACTGTATTAAAAAAGTGATTAAATAAGTGTATTAAATAAGTGATTCCTTAAAAAAAAAAAAACACCTAAGGAGAAAATTAAGTAGCAAAACTATCTTACAAATGATTCGGGGCTCTTGAAGTGCTCACAAGTTGTGGAACCACCCAAACATATACCCTCATCATACCCTCAAAGAAAACTCTACCTCCACTACACAGCTGTTTCTTGGTTCCCTTCTTTCCAGAGCAAGGCAATCACAAATCTATGTCTAACTCTAGAGTCCTCCTTTTTTAACAATAAAAAGTGAGAGCCTCTATCCCATCTGCCCACCAAATTACATTCTTCAGGTTTATCATAAGGGGTATACTGGAACAAACGAACACGAACACACACACACACACACACTCACACACACACAGTCTGTATCTGGCAATGTAAGCATTTCAGTTTGGTAACCCAAACAAAATACTTCTTAGAGACTGCTCACATTCATTTCCAGGAATATTCAAAAAAGGAAGACTACACTTTCATGCTAACTTTACATTCACTGTTATCAGTAGAGAGAAGGAAACATCCAGGGCTGGGCATGTGATCTAGTGGTAAAACATTGGCCTAGCATGCCTAAAGCTCTAGGTTCTGTCTTCAGGACCATGAGACACCCAAAGCAACCACATAACAAAACCCCACATTATAACAAACACATTAGAATTCAAGTTAATAGTAAGAATGCCAGGAATGAGCTTGAGAGAAGGATAGTCAGTCTAGAGAGCTTAAAGAAGCAAAGTGGAGTTGAGATCTTATTACTCGGCTGATATCAAACAAAGTAATAGGGATACCACAGCTTTGAAAGGCCTCTGTACTGCTCAGCCTCCATGTAGCTGCACCAGTGAAGTCAATCTGCTGGGACACTGCTGTGGTCCAGAGCACCAGTTAAGACAGCTGGACCCTGTCAGTTCGAGCTTTAATAGTTTTGGATCACTGGTTCTATGAAGGGTTTACACAGGAGAAATACACATCTTACCTCAAAGAGCCCCTTAAGCACAAAGGAAAACACGTGTACCTGATCAAGTTTGGGACCACTGACCAGGCTTCACAAGTTTACCTCACTTAAGCTACTTTGCTCCCTGAATTTCTAAAACAGCACAAACAATCTCAGTATCTTAACTGACATAATTTACAAACTTCCATTTTAAAACAAAGTGGAAAATAGATTCACTTGAGTAGAAGTAAATGAAGAAATTTGGTTAAGAATAAACACAACTTCCATCCACTATAAAAATAAATGCATGTTTTTCTCCAGATTATATGACAGCACCCAATAGTGTGTTTACAAAAGGACCTTAAATCTATGATAAGCAGGACATTTTAAAAATAGAATATTTTTATTATGATATTGATCTAATCTATTAAGATCAATTCCATCTAGCCTCTAAGTTACAGAAGTTGGTAAAATCAGATGGACAGTTCCAGTCATAGCACATGTAGTTAGTGCTCGTGACAGTGGTAGGGGAGGGCTTATCAAGCAGGAGCTTGTAGAGTAATACAAAAGGTGCTCTACTGTGTTCTTACAGGAAGGACCTCAGCAGTAAAAACCTGCAGCACCAATTCTTCCTACAACTCCTCTAAGAACCCTGACCCACCTAGTAGTACAACTTCCTACCTAGCTATGATAACCTCTTTCTTAACTCTTTAATATTCCATCAAAGAAGTAAGCTCTAAGAAGATGACAACCCAACAATACCATAAATCACTCATTACATCACAAAAGTGCTACCACACTGCCATCCTGTGGAAGCACAGATTCTGGCAGTCATTGCTGCAGATCACGCTTCTGATTTGTTAGAAACTAACCCCCCCCCCCCCGCCAAAAACAATTGGGCTTATTCACATGTACAGTTTCATTTTACCCAAAGAAAAAACACTCGGATTTGAGACAAAAATCTACAGAAATCCTAATCATGTTTCCACCCAAATCCCAAGGACACAAAGCAGTAGAGTTTGGCTAATGCACAGTTGACTCCAGCTCCACCCATCTAAGTGGTGACAGAGCCCCTGCTGCTCACTTCAGCACCTCACTGACAGGCCATGACAATCTGGCAGTGCTCTCTATGCCATCTTTTATATGGGAATGCCAAAGCATGCATGTGAAGGTCAGAGGACAACATCTCTTGGCTGCTGCCTACCCCAGTGCTTGGATTAAGGAGCTAACATATTTGCCTCACATGGGTTCTAGGGACCGGATCAGGTCCTCACACAGTGCCCATCACCATTTCCTCAGTCCTCTTCTTTGGAGTCTTAAGTTACTCCTCCTCCTTTTGCAAACTTAGAGAAGGATCTGCGAATACACAAACTCATTAACATTAACCCACTACTTAATCCCGTCAGTCTTTCTGAGTTACTTAATTTCTTGGACAATGTTTAATAGGAATGGCTAACAAAATATCCTTCTGTCAGACAAGATACAGAAGAGAAAGATCTTACAATCCAGTCAGTTTTACTAGATCGCTAACAACACAAGTCTGCAAGAATATTGAAAAGTTAACTTAATAAAGTCACCTTGTTACTTTCTGACTGCTTCGGTTACTGGGAATTTTGGTAAATATTCAGGGTAAAGAATGGTGAGAAAACAGTTAAAGAAACAGAGGGCAACAAGAAAAACACTTCTGACTAGCAGAGAAACACCAGGTCAGCTTAGCAGGCACAGATTGTGAGAGCTCCTTCCCAGGGCACTGCTTACAACAACCATAGAACACATCACTGAAACTGACATTTTACAAGCTCCAAAAATATAAAGGTAGCATGAAATGACTTATTCAAAATACTTGAGCAGAGAAAAATCACACTTTCAAATGGAAAAATACATCTTCTTGCTATTACCTAATAGGAAGATAAGGATAAGGATTTAGAGGAGTTCTGGGATGGAGAGATGATGGCTCAGCAGTTTAGAATATTGGCTTTATCTTCCAAAGAACCTGAGTTCAATTTCCAGCACCCTAATGGTAGCTTACAGCTGTAACTCCAGTTCCAGGGGATTTCATGCCCTCTTCTGGCCTCAGCAGCCACCGAGGCATGTACATGGTAGGGACATACATATAGCCAAAACAAAACAAATATGCTTGAAATAAAATTAAAAGCAAGTTTAATATTCTAGTCCTGCCCTGCAGAAGCAATTCATTAGTTCTGACAAGTATTAATGGGACAATACCAGACTACAAGGAGATTATAAACACACTGTGGGATTATTATAGAAAGAATTCATGAAATCTATACAACCTCTCTTCTCTTGAGACAAGGTCTTACTATGTAGTCCTGGCTGTCCTTGACTCACAGAGATCTGCCTGCTTCTGCCTCTAGATTTCTGGGATTAAAAATCATACAGCCATTATGACTGACTGATTCTACTGTAAAGAACTCAATACTGTGACTCAATCACTCCCGCAGTTATGTAATAACTAAACCTAATGTGTCAAAAAGTACAACAGACATTTAATAGCAAACAAAATTTACAAATGAAGTAAAACAGATTTAAAAGACCAAAACTACAAATTTATTCCACTAAGTCACTTAGGACTTTCCTTTCCTTTTGTTTAGAGAAGGTCACAATTCTTTAGCCCAGGGTAGCCTGAAATTCACTGAACAAGGCTGACATCTACCATGCCTCAGCCTTCCAAGTGTTAGATTTTAAGTGAGCCATAACACTACCTTATCCATCTAAGAGTAAGCTCTTAGATGGATTTAAGCATTTACTTTAAGGCTCCTAGCTTCTACACAGGAAGCATTCATGACCAACACGACAGGTGTGATTCTCTGGATGACTGGGTTTATCTATGACAGCACCAAAGCATTTTCTACTTTTGTTTAATTTGTAATTAATAAAGACTCTTGGTGCTACATGCCTTGAGTCTTGAGACAGGAGTATCTGATAGACTGTTCTTTGTAAATTAAACTATGTAATGCTTGAGGGAACTCCCAACAACCCCTAAAATATCTACTTAATACAACACACCTATGAAAAGGAAGACTGAGAAACCTTCAGTTCCTTCAAGCAATGAGTACACAGTGGCTCTCCCCTGGAAAGCGCTTATTGTAACCAACACTTAGGACTTGTAAACAAATGAAAAGCCAAGGCAAAACTCTTAGGAATCTAGGTAGCACTCCTGTTGGCCCGGTCCAATCTAGGAAGCATGGAAATCACTTTATGCTTTTAAAAACACTCCAGTCATGCAAATGATGTATCTAGTTTATAGGATGTGTAGCACAAATAATAAAAACTCAGAGACAGATTTCCAGGGGTTAAAGCTGAAGATCAGAGAAGCAGAACGGTAAGCCGCTAAGAAAGACCTTTCACCTGTACCAAGGCTCAGGCCTAAGGGGCAATCCTCTGACTGCCTAGACTGCACTGTGTCTTTACCAAACCTTAGACTCCACACTCCAATGAGTTTCTGTCTCTTCCCCTCTGCCCAGCCATATCAGAACCAATAAAAAATCTACTTACTTGTTAATACTTCATGTGACTATCTGAGGTCTGTTTCTGACCCTCCCCACTTTTCTATTTGTTTTTGCTTTTCTGAGAAGGATCTCGTGCAGTCAACACAAAAGGCAAGTTAAACATAAAAAATTACTACCTTTTCATGGGCAATACGGACCAAGCAGGAAGTCTGTTTACTAAGAACGAGCATGAAAGGTGGAACCACTCACCTATGTAGACTCTCTTGCTGTACCTCTGCATTAGCAGCAGCACAAACACATGGAGAGGGATAAGGTTGATGATAAACACATAACCTCCCCACGCAGAGACCTATGGGAAAAGAAAGGCTTAGACACATGGCTTCTCTCACTTCCTAAAACGTAACATAAATTCATGACAACATAAATATGAGAAAATATAACACTAGAATTTCTAGCAATTTTCCGAAGTAGCATATACACATAACAGCTCTTTTTTGTTTGTTCGTTTGCTTGTTTTTCGAGACCAGGTTTCTCTGTGGCTTTGAAGCCTGTCCTGGAACTAGCTCTTGCAGACCTGGTTGGTCTCAAACTCACAGAGATCCGCCTGCCTCTGCCTCCCGAGAGCTGGGATTAAAGGCATACGCCACCACCACCCAGCTACAATTCTTTTTTTATTGACAAGTAACATGATCTCATAAACCCAGTAAACTTTTTAAAACTTACTGGAGAATTAGCTGAAGTTAAATTTAATAGGAAGGCTTAAGAACATCACATAATTGTGAATTGGCAGAAAATAGGCAGTCCTGGAAATGAGTTCTAGAATATAGATATCAAATTTTTAGACTAGAATAACAGGCTTTTATTTCATCTATGATAATCTATTTACTGAAAGAAAGTTCAATAAGCATAAGAACAATGAATTCTGACACTGGTCAGTGACTCAGCTAAAAGGGCACTCACACTCTCGGTCACACTGTAGAGTTCTTAATAGAGCAGGCTGGCTGTAGCCTCAAGAGGGATTACAAGTGAGAACTGTATTTAAAATAACACACACACACACGTATTATACACACACACTTGTATTATATGTACGCACATTTCAAAAAATCAGAATAACCATGGTTATTCAAGTCTAAATAAATATTTTAAAAAGTCAATGTTCATTCTCAACCATTACAATGGACTGACTTTTCATGTGCTCAAAACAGAAAGGAAGTTCTTTTAGGATCGAAGCTTAGCTGGGCAGTGGTGGCGCACGCCTTTAATCCCAGCACTCAGGAGGAAAGGCAGGTGGATCTCTGTGAGTTCGAGGCCAATCCAGGGCAGGCTCCAAAGCCACAGAGAAACCCTGTCTTGAAAATCCAAAAAAGAATCAAAGCTCATCAGTATGTTCTAATTTAGTTAGAAGGCTGAAGAATTCACTGGTTACAAAGTCATCATATGAAGATGTATTAGTGTACAAAAATACTTCAAAGCAACTTCTAAGGACCTACAGTTAGTTCATAATATATAGACACACACACCTGTTTATTGCTTAGTCACATACATGTTTTTCCCCAACAAACCCCAATGTCATCCTGAGCTTAAGCAATAAGCTCTAAGAGTCTCCTGGATATTCCTAACATTAAAAGTGACTTCCTTAAGCACAGGGCACAATACATACTGCAGGTATTAAGCAGTTTAGAAGGACCACAGAAAACTGATACATGTATTTATTCCATGAAATTAGTTTTAGCAATCAGTTTAAATTACTGTTAATTTTCACATAAAAAACTCTGGGTGAAAAAGAGGCAGAAGTATAAAAAACTAATATTGAACCTTACCCTTCAGAAATCTATTTACAAATTATAAGGCAATTTATGGGTTAACACAGAGTGCACGACAATGCCTGGGTTCTGACTGTAAGGAGTTCGGGAATTCTGAAAGTGCAGACAGAACCAATATGCCACCTCATCTCTGTCCACTTACAAACAGACAAACTGAAAGCAATCTGAGCACAAGTCTCATGTTTTAAAGTGGTCTCGCTCATCCTTTGCATGATCTTTCACTATGGGATCTTATTTCCTTCTTCTCTGGCCTAGACACCACAGAAAGTTCATCCCCTTAAGGAACGAAAAGAGAACACAATGGGTCAGAAGAATATCCAGTCTTCCTCATCCTTCTGTCTTCTCAGGTAACCTTCCTTCAGGAAAGCTTTTCACCAAGATTTTTTTTTTTAGTTTGTTTTTCGAGACAGGGTTTCTCCGTAGCTTTGGAGCCTGTCCCGGAACTAGCTCTTGTAGACCAGGCTGGCCTCAAACTCACAAAAGATCAGCCTGCTTCTGCCTCCCGAGTGATGGGATTAAGGAGTGCACCACCACCGCCCGGCTCACCAAGATTCTTACAGTGTGCTTATTTCTCTGGTCTTCCCAAACTTAGTGATGAACAGATGATGTCTATTTTTACAACTTATGATCATGTGACCATTAAACAGTCAATTCCAATAAAGGAAAACTAATTTTTAGTTTGATATTTAAAACTATTTGAGTGTTAAACAGAAGCTAACTTCCTCTAAACATGGTTTTATGCTCTGGATTTGACAGGTAAAGTTTCTTGTTCTTTTTAGTTTGTAATGTAATTAGGGAAACATTTTATTTGTCCAAAAATTAAAAAAAAATACATAGGAACAATAAACTATATTTAAATTCAATTCTAGATGTGATTAACAAGTTAAAATCATTTAGAAATTTAATGCTAAAAACAACTGATTTGTTTTACTTGCTTATAATAAAAACTGCATTTGAGGACTGAGTATCAGCTCTCAACAAAGTGTCCCTCTTTCTAGCACCAAGGTGAGGGGGATGGCAATACAGGCACACACTGAGCAGAGTCCAAACCCAACCTGAACAGGAGTGGGAAGGAGAGGGTGAGGAGAAAGGAGCTGCTCTTGCTGCCCAGAGCTCTTAGAGCAGAGCCAGGCACGGATCTTACCATGTAGAAATACGACAGGCAGCAGCACATCGTCCAAAACACAGACCCAGTTTTCACAGACTTTACCTAAAAACAACAAAAGTAAATCCCATTGTAAAATGTGTATGAAGACAGTTAATCATCTAAAAGGTACTGAGTGAGGACTGAGGCTTGGCTATTCTGACTGACTTAAAATATTTTTCAAAACTGAGTAATATACATTTTAATAACTGATTCTCTTTTGGTTAGTTTTCAGTAAAAAGAACAAATAAACAATGAGGAACAAATTATCCTTTTTTTCATTTTCTGTGATGAAATATTAAGTATCAACAAATTGGAGCCTTAAATAATTGTGTTCAGTAACTCTACATTTTCATATGGTTGATTTGCTAGACCTAATACCTTTATATTTCTTCATCTGAATACATGATCACATATATAGATTCTAAGCTTCCATTTTGAAAAACTTAACTGTTACAGTAAAAAAGTTTAGATACCATAAATAATGAAAAAGAATATAGTAGAAGGAATGTGGGGCTAGCGGAAAGAAAACATTTCTAGTTTATAGCACTCAATGAGAATAAGGAAGAAAAGTATACTAAAATGGCAAGCATTTAAAAAAAGAGCAAGGAAATCAAGAGAGTTTAATAGATAAATATTCCATGTTTATATTCGGAATACGCAATATAATCAAATGATTTTGTTTAAAGAGAACAGATTAATTCAAAGTCTGTATAGAAAGGCAAAAACTCAAAAGAGCCAACATATTAATAAAGAAAAATAAAATCACAGGGATGATATTACCTGAACTTTAAGACTTACAAATTACAGTAGTCAAGACAGTCAAAAGGATCACTGACATAAATATAAAACAAAAGGGATCTAGAGAGATGACTCAGCAAGTAGTTAAGAGCACACACTGCTCTTGCAGAGGACCTTGCTTTAGTTTCCAGGACTACTGAAGACCTGTAACTAACTGTCTGTCATTCCAACTCCTGAGGATCAAATGCCTTCTTCCAGCCTCCTTATGTATCTACATTCATGTGGTGCACAAAGACAAGTCACACAAACACACACATACACACACACACACACATGCACGCACGCACACATACACACAGAAAATCTAAAATTTTTAATTAAGCTATACAATCATTTTTGTTTTGTTGTTTGTTTTTTTGGTAGCTTAGGCGCCTGTCCTGGAACTAGCTCTTATAAGGCTGGCCTTAAACTCACAGAAATCCACTTGCATCCGTGAGTACTGGGATTAAAAGTGTGCACCACCACCGCCCAGCTAAGTTATACAATTATTAGAATACAAGGTGAAATTTAGCTACAGCCTAGACACACAGAAAAGACACACTCCATGCAATCTTGGGCTGGCCTTTTTCATAATGTTCAGAGTCAGTGAGAACCCAAGTGAGTCATAACAACTCAGGTCTAATCAGAGCTTTGCTCAAAGAATCTTAAAAATAACTTTATTCTCAGAAGTTACAAGGTTCATTGTTACCAGAACAAGTCAACATTCATAATTTTCTTAAATAAAAATTGGAGAAGTGGTATTTTTGTATGTATATCTACATATATATATATACACACACCGCTTGATATAAATCCAGTATGTGTGTGTGTGTGTGTGTGTGTGTGTGTGTGTGTGTGTGTGTGTGAGTGCACCCATGTACCTATTATAAAGCCCTTGGTTCCAACTTCAGCACCACGTGAAATCAGGTGTGGAGACACGTGATGGAGGCAGGAAGAGCAAAGTTCAAGGTCATCCTAAGCTGCAAAGTAACAAATATCAGAGATGAGTATTTTGAAGGTAAATTCAATGTGATTGCCTAAATAACAGTCAAGTACTTAGTACCTACAAGTTCATATACCATGGCTAGAAAATTATCATATTAAGCAGGAGATAAAGAACATTCTTTATCAGACAGGTCTATTAGAAACCAGTGCTCTATAAGCATGGGCTATCTTGTTTAAGTTCATAGCACTAACAGATCTACTCAAGTTCTAGTGGAAATAGAATTTATCACCTCGGTGAGAAGAGAAAACTCCCTCAGCAATCTACAAAGAAGCAAGCTTTAAGTTACCAGGCAGCTAAAGTAATGAAGCAATGCATACCCAAGAATTAGGATAGCTAAAGACCCCAGACACACAAGCAGCATCACACTGGAAGACCTGGAGGGGCTCAGCCTTCTTAGCAACATTGCTAGTCACATGGAAAAAGCAGAAAATATTAGACTTAGAGCAGGGGTGAAGCTCAGTGGTAGAGTGCATGCTTGACATATATAAGACCCAGTCTTCAGCATAATAAAAAGGAAAGAGAATTTCTAAACTAAAAATTAATGGATGGGATGCAATCAGTGATAGGATGCTTGTGAGCATATAAAAGGACCCGATCTCCATCACTGAAGAGACGAATCAACAAAACAAAACAGACTACAGGAAATTGATGAAATTCTTGTGCATTTGTTCAAAGAGCAGAAAAAAAACTGGACACAAACATTTACAGGACCATCATTTATAAAGCCAAAATTTAAAATAACTAAAGACTGAATAAATTTTAATGTGCTATAATACAATGAAATATTATCAACTTGAAAAACACACTAAGTATCTATTTATAATACAACATAGATCAACACTGAAAAGTCTGTTAAGGGGAAAAACTGGTATTAAAGGTCAATATATATTATATTCTTTACATAGGGTCCATGCAAACTCAAGGGAAAAGGCAAATTGCTGTTTTGTGGAAGATAGAAGAATGAGGTTAATGACAAAAGGTGGATGCAAAACTCAATCCAAGTAGACCAAAGGCCATAATCCAAGACCTGAAACTTTGCAAATGCTAGAGAAAAAAAAGAGAAAGAACTGCTGGATATAGATATACTTTCAGAAAAGAAGTTCAATAGCTCAGGAAATAACAGTAACAACTGACAAACAGCATGGCATCAAACGGGATGGTTCAAGATGGTGGCTTTTGCATTGCTGAAATCTGCTGTGCTACCATGCACCTCTCCCCCCTCTTGCTAGTGACTTACTGTTATTTATTTTTAAATTTACTTTATACAATATGAAAATAATTCTTTTATTCAAGTTCAAATTGCGTGATAAAAATCATTGATGATTTGGCACAAAACTGCCACCAAATATACATACAATGACGGTACAAGACATTCTGCAAAGAAAACTAGATCCTTCATTCAGGAAGAGCATGGTGGCTGCCATCAGAAGTTGACAATGGCCAAAGGAGAGCAATCATCAAAACCACTCTTCTTACAACTACCTGAGAAGTTGCTGAGAATTCCACACAAACCACTCAACAGATTTGAAGCAGAAAGAGAAAACAGCCTGTGAACTTGCTGAAAATCCACACGTTCATCACTTTGTCCTCTATCTTCTTATACAAAAAGTCTGCTCCTTGTCAGACTGTCGTATGTGACCTTCAGCTCAGCCACTGGACCAAGAGGCTCCAGAGCATTCCTCAAAGACAAACTTGCACCAGAAACAAGTTGCAATCAGGCCTGATGGTCTGCTCTACCACAGCGTTCTGGACCCTGGCAAAACGCTATCTGAGAAGTGTGCTCAGAAAACTAACAAGGTACAGGACAACCCAATGCCTGTGGCTGGCATTGGTCAAAAGAAAGAGCTAATTCTTTCCAAGACAATGCCTAGCTCCATACCATGCAATTAATGCTTTAAAAATTGAATAAACTGGGCTACAAACATTTGCCTCATCCACCATAGTCACCTGACCTTTTTCCAACTGACAATCACTTTTCTAGCCTCTCCACAACTTTTTGCAGGGAGACAATCCCCAAACCAGCAATATGCCAAAATGCTTCCCAAGAGTTTGACTCTCAAAGCATACTTATATTATATAAACTTTTTTTTAAAAAACTGGTAAAACATGCTGATTGTAATTTCCTACTAATAAAGGCCTAGGTGCAATGATTTCAAATTCAAGGTCCAAAATCACAATTCCTTTTGGCACCAACCTAACAGAAAGCTCTGCACAGCACAAGAAATAATCACCAAACAGAAGAGAAGACCTGCGGAACGGGAGAAGAATCTCCACCAGCAACTCATCTAGCAGGGGACTGATAATCAGGACACACAGAGTTCAAAAAAAGCAAACAACAAAAGGAAAAATAATACAGTCAACAAATGAGCAAATGAATAGTTCTCAAAACAAGCTCAAATGGTCAATAAAAACAAGAAAAAACATTCAGTATCTTTAGCTAAAGGCAAATCGAAATTGCAATATAATTCCATCTCACCCAGTCAGAATGGCTAAGGTCATCCTTATACACCACTGATGGGATTGTACTGCAGCTTTGCAGTGAGTGTCCAAGAAAGATCTAGTGGCTCCCAGGCACCCTTTATTTCACTATGGAGCTCCTTACTGTAACCAAATCTGTGGTGCTGTAATAAAGACATGTGGACAGAAGTACAACGAGACAGGAGAGTTCAGAAGAAAGCTATACACCACAGTGAATTTACTTTTGACAAGCATGCCAATTAGAAGTTAAGAGGGTTGCTTGTCAAGGGACCCTAAACACAGAAATGATTGTGAATAAGAACCAAAGTAAAGAACTCCCACTTCCTAACTTCAAAATGTACTACAAAGTTCTGGTAGGTCAAACAGTGCGATGCTGGCAGAAAGACAGACACACAGCTCTAGGTAACCCTGGCACATGTGACCAAATGACTCTGACAAGGTACCAAGATCAACCAATGAGGAAAGATGGAAGTCAACATGTGAATTAATAAATTTGGACCTCTGTTTAAGCATCATTTGAGAGATGGCTCAGAGGTTAAGAGCACTGACTGCTCTTCCAGAGGTCCTGTGTTCAATTCTCAGCAACATGGTGGCTCACAGCCATCTGTAATGAGATCCGGTGCCCTCTTCTGGCCAGCAAGCATACAGACAGACAGAACACTGTATACATAATAAATAAATAAATCTTTAAAAAAACATATTAAATGGAACAACTTCGATATAAAGCTTAGAATAACTACGAAATTCTTAAAAGATGACAAGTTGACATTCATGAACATTAATTTCTGTATATCTAAAGAAACCCACAGGGTGGAGAAGAATGAGGTAAGACATGAAGAAACAGTTAATCCATAAGGGATTAGCAGCAAGCATACACAGAGAATTCATAAAACTCAACAACAAAAAGCCACATTCAAATAGGAGCAAAGGACTTCTAACAGGCATTCTACAAAAATAACCAACTGGCTACCAGACACACAAAGAAGTACTTCCCACTCACCACTGGGAAAATGCAAACCAGAACCAGGTACACTAACTTTACACCCATGAGCATTATTACATATCAATCAACCAGAAAAATCAAGTGTGGTGGTACATGCATAGAACCCCAGCTACCTTGGAGGCTGCAGCAGGACTATTGGGGATTTGAGGCTAGCCTAGGCTTATAGTGAGAAACAGCCATAAAACAAGTGCTGGGTGGGAAACATGGACTCATTGGAACATCTGTGCACTGCTTGGTAAAAATTTGAAATTCCAGTTATGAAAAAATGGTATAGTGGTTCCATAAAAACATTAAAAATGTAATTGCTATACAAGCTGTATCTGATAGGATTCTACCTACCCAATTAGCCAAAGTCAATGAGACAAGTAGAAAGGTTGCATTTTACAAGATGTGGGTGGATGATATGTATTGTTACCAAACATCACAAGTATATATAACATTACTAAGCTATGGCACTTGGGAAATGTTATAGTCGGTGTATTTTACCATAATAAAAAAAGTTGGAGGAAAAAATAAAGTATATGTGTGTGTGTGTGTAATAATTATGATAAACACAAAAGGAAGACACTAAACATCCTAGGTAGAAAGACTGCATTTATGTGAAATACCCAGACTAGTAAAGTTCATAAAAGACAAAACCAGTGAGACAGTGAGATGTCTCTGAGTATAAAAACACTTAGCTTGCAAGCCGGATGACCTGAGCTTGGTCTTTAGAACCCACATAAAGGAGGAAGGAGAGAACCAACTTCACAAAATTGTCACCTAACAACCACATGTGTTCCTCAGCATACATGAGCCTCCCTGACTGCATCATACACAAGCAGTAGTAAAAAAAAAAAAAAAAAAAAAAAAAAAAACTTTAAAGTGCAGATGCATAGCTATCCCAGAACATAGAATAAGAGGAAGTAAGAGGTACAGGGCTGAGGTACAAGCACAAGTTTTAGACTGAAGAAATTTTCTATAAATAAGAGTGGTGAGAGTTGTACAACAGTAAGTTAAAAAGGATTCATTGTATTCTTTAAAATAACACAAAAAGTTTTATTACAATTTTGGAAACATTTTTTAAATGCTCAAAGGCAGTTGAGATTTCAGTTAGGATACTACTTCAATAGTTTAGACTCACGTGTTAAAAGAAAATGAAGGATAAAAAAACCTATACACAAGCCAGGCATGGCACACAACTATGATCTTAGCACTTGGGAGGCAGAGGCACAGGCAGGAGTTTGAGGGCAGTCTCAAGATACATACCAAGGCTTTGTTTTAAAAAAATACACACACACACACACACACACACACACACACACACACACCAACAAAAGGGGCTAGAAAATTAAAGAGAGAATCAATGTTAGTTTTCTTAATGCCCAACTGTAAATAATTATTTCTAAGTGAGTTATTCCTAAGTGAGCTTTGTTCCTTCACATTTATCTGTTGTACAAATCTCCCACAATAGGGTATTGTTTTCTTACAGTAAATAGGAGATAAAACAACAAAATGCAGATGACTAAAACAGCTACCAACCTATCTATCCACACTTTCAAATTCAAATCAATGCCATTATTTACTTCAGATAATTTTATTTTAAAAAAAGAATTTAACCAACATAGATGGACTCTCCTTTAATGTTGTTTCCTCAATGTCAACCAATCATTCTCAGAAAAAAATATTTTAGGAAGTTGAGGCACTGATTCCTCATTGTTATACTTTGGCTACAAACAGCATAAAGAATATCTAATTTGTATTCTTTAAATTTCACATTCATGATTTATCATATCACGACCAGTCTACTGTAACTCATCTCCCCACTGGCATTATATTAATAAGATCTATCTACACTCACATACATTATTTTTAGTATTAGAACTTACATAATTAAAAGGCTTTAAATAGAGATTGAAACATTTTAAGTCTGGGGGTAGTGCCCCCTCCACGGCATGCAGCAAATGAAGGGCTTTTACAGGCAATTCTGATGATGACAGCAGTAGGACACTAACAGTGCTGCTGTCTTCAGACTGACTCACACGAGTGCTTTTCTCTCTTTTAAACTCAACATCAAGAGGCTGCCTCTATAGATAACACTGCAGTGTTCTTCCTAGAATTCCAGGTCAAAACAAAAATACCTAACAAGTCAGGGAAGTTTTTTCCTCAAGACAGGCTTTCTTTGGCTTTGAACTCACAGAGATCTGCCTGCCTCTTCCTTCCAGGTTCTGGGATTAAAGGTGTGCGCCACCACTGCCCGGCTCACCAGGTAGCTTTTACGGGAATTTAAAATAACTATTAAAGAGAAAGTGATGCTGTCATTCATCTAGCTACCTAAAAATATAGTTAAGTGAATAAAGAAGTACTCACACATAAAAAGTGTGTACTGCTGACAGACTGCTTCTATTTATTTTTGAAGTTACAACTTATAAAGCAGATACAATAAGATTATTATGGAAATTAAAATCTATGGACATATTAATGCAGTGATATATTCAGAAAAATGTTGGTATGCTTTTAAATGTTATCTATCGTTAAATTTATTTATTATGAATAGCAATAACATATTTGTACAACTCTATTGGTAAAAGACGTAAGTCCAACCTAAAGACTTTGGGCAGAAGGTCACCAGCATTAATGATAGCCAAATATTAAGTGGTACTTACCCATAAGTAGTAAGTGAACTGAAGCGCAAAAATTGCAATGCCTTCATTATCAAAGGATCCTGCCACTGATCGAGATATGTACCCTGGTACAATTGCAATAAAACAAGCAGCTAAAAGTCCTGCTCCTTGGTTCCAAAGTTCTCTAGTTAGCAGGAACGTAGATATAGATGTAAGGCCGCTAAAAGTTGGTGCAAGGAATACACACACATCTCTTATGTGAACTGTTATGTTCAATGTATTTAAAATCCAATGAATAAGGCCAGCTGTTATCATCAACCCTGGGTAAACCTAGAGGGGAAAGAAAGGAATTTAGTTACATATAAAACATGGTGCCCAAAAAGAATAGTCCACATTCTTTTTTAATTAGTATACACCATTTGTAGTTAAGATGAAGAGAAAGCTTTCCCTTTCACGGGATACACAATAAAATCTTTTTGGAACAGATACAGAATATATACTGAAATAAAAGAGCAGAGAATATAAAACAAGAGTGATTAAAATAGAAAATATGTAATGATGTTTATTCCATTAACTATCTTCCTCACTTCCAAGGATTGTCTTAGTCATGTATTTTTCAGGCCTGGGATTTTAACACACTTTAGCCGTGTTCTTATCGTGTATAAATAAAAAGGAGAAATGATAATTATAAGTAAGTTAAATCCAAGATTCAGAAAGTAAACACCACTCAGGAAGAAGGATCAGTTATTCGGGAACCAAAAGAATACTAAAAGGCTTTATGTTCTATGTTCAAAGTCTTAATAATGGGAGGGAAGATTAATGTACTGACACCCACCTTTACACCAAAAGAAGGGCAGTGACCACAAGATGATTCGGAATTGGAGGATATTCATTTCGAATCATCCCTCAGTAACTAATATGTGTTTTTATTTGCATTCACACCCTAATCCTCCCTCAATGGCTCTCTTTCTCCCCAAGACTGAAACCACAAAGGCTCTGCCACACATTCATTCCCTGGCTGTCCTATTTAAATGTGCAGGTCTCAACAGACTCCGACCCTAGTCTTTAACTCACCCGCTTGCTTTTTCTCCCTAGCATCTATTATCGCTGAGCACACTATTTATAAACCTTATTTTCAACTGTTCAACCTCACAAGAATGTAAGCTCCAGAAGAGTAAGAGTTTATTTGTCAGTATGAAGAACAATACAGGCACAGAGTGTATATTCAATGTCTAGTGAATGCACAGAGTAACAGGATTGAGGAGAAAAACAGTATAGTGAGTTATTACAATTCTCAAAAAATTCTGATCCGTTTCTTACTCAGTACTAGATCCTACTGTATGATTTTGTCAGCAATACACAAAGAAAGCAGACATGAATCTGAAATTTTTTCTCCATATAAATCAACATATCCATATAATACGGCAGATGGACCTAATATAAGAAAAGTCAAAATACAAAGCAGTATTGAATGAAAGGTCTAAAACCAAAAACTCCTAACAGCAAAGATATATTCAAACTTGGGGCTGGAGAGATGGCTCAATTAATGGTTAAGAGCACTTGCTGCTCTTGCAGTGAGGACCCAGGTTCGGTTCCCAAAATCTACATGATAGTCCACAACTGTCCATAACCTTCAGCTCCTGGGGTTCTGATCCATTTTCTGACCTCTGCAGGTCCCAGGCACAAATATGGTAAACATGCACAAATGCATGTACACATAAATTTAAGATCATGTGCGTGTATATATGTAATATATATATATATATATATATATATATATATATATATATTCAAACTTTTAGGAAAAAAGCATACTCTCCAGATGTAAAAAACAAAGGGGTTCAAATTTAAGTAGATATTCATGTCACTAGAGCCCATAAGAGAAAGCAAAAAAGCTCAAGAAACCAGGTGGAATGTGCACCTTAGTGTTAGAGGTCGAGCAGTTTTAACTTGACACAAGGGCCAGAGAAAAAGCCTAATTTCCAGCAAAGTCAGATGCTGTTAATGAAACTAAACTGGATAAATTCTTCTCGTTCATCAGGGAAGTCAGGAAGGAACTCTGCCTTCCTTACCAGGTAGGAACAAAGTCCTACAGAGATAAGATTGTTCCAAAAGTGCTATAATATTAAGATGTAAGAAGCTTCAAAATGCGGCTGCACAATTGGCTCAGATGGTAATCCCTGTAAGGCACGAGGACCTGGCTCCATCCCTAAGCCCCACATTAAAAGCCTGCAGTGTTGGCACATTCTTACAGCCCCAGTGCTGGGAGATGGAGAATGGAATAGTGGGCAGAAGAAGGTAGATTCCTAAAGTTTGTTAATCAGTCAACCTAACCCAATTATGTAGCTCCAGGCCAGTGAACAACTGCTCAAACAAATAACAACAGATCCAACGTGGACACCACCCAAGGAACATCTGTGGCTGACCTCTGACATCCACATGTACACACACCCCCCTTTTTAAACACAGAAGAAACATGATCTGAACTAGAATGTATTTTAGGTTATAATCAAGTCCAAAAAGGGTTGGAGGTTACATAATATTTGCTAACTACAATCCATTTGAAAAATTTTAAAGAGTACTACAAAATCCTCTTTTAAAAGTTATGAATGAACTTCTATGAAAGCATGGTGGTTCACATCCATAATCCCATCATTTGGGAGGCTGAGGCAGAAAGATTACTGTTAAATGCAAGGCTAGCATGGGCTACAGAGTGAGCATAAAGGAAAATAAAATCCCGCCAGTAGAAGGAGATTCTAATAGAAATTAAAGTGGAAGGATGATGAAAACATTAGGTCAAAACCCAGGAAGTTCTGCTAGCTGCATGATGGTAACTTTGACTGTGACAGCTGTAAACAGTCAACAGTGATAAAAGGCTAAAAAAAATCACTGGAGAAATTACAGGGAGTTGGGAAAGGAACACAAAAGTAAATAAATTCAAAGTACAAAAGAAAGGAAATGAATTTGAATTAATGATGTGAGAGCAAAAGTTTATCTGGGGTGACAGTGATACTGGTGAGCCTCTGGCAAAGTCAATCAAGAAGAAATGACCAAGCACAGAGACTTCCTCAAGAGCTGCCACATCTTCCCCTTCTCTTTAAGTTCTCCTTTCACACTGAATCCTAAGAACCTTATGTCATCATTCTGGATCCAGAGAACTCTACACCAACTATAGTCAAGGCACAATTACCTAGATTAGTTCAGAAGCTTGAGGCCTGAAAAGTTTAATTATTTTAATAATTCTAAATTTTTATTTCCTCCCCCTCCCCCCCCCCAAAAAAGAAAAAGCAGCTTTACTTCAAACTCAGTTGCTCGAGAACAAAGCTAAAAACACAATCTGGACTTGAGGTACTTTGTGACAGCAGATTTTTGTTGTTTTGTTTTTGAGACAGGGTTTCTCTGTGCAGTCCTGACTGTCCTGGCACTCACTCTGCACACCATGCTGGCCTTGAACTCACAGAGATCCACCTGTCTTGAGTGCTGGGATTAACCACCACCTAGCCTGGGACAGCAAATTCTTAATCCATCCTGACACTTGTCAGAGGCCAATGTGAGATATTCCACAAATAAACTGTCAAGAATAGAGCAAAGAAACATAGGCTAATTAGCTACAGAGGCTGTATTTGTGAACTATATGCAGTTTTGGAAGACCCTTATCCCACCAACACTTAATGGCTTGCTCAACAGTTTACATCAAAGAATAGCTAATATACTTACAGTGCCACCTACTATTCTTCCTAGTGGATACCATGCTCTTTCATCAAACCAATTTAAAAATTCATAAAACCCATGAGATGCAAGGTGATGTGTTGATCTATAGTTAAACCTGGAGAAAAGAGAAAAGGAAATGTTATAAAACTTGTTAACACAATACCTTTCTTTATATTTGATATACAGATATATGTATATTAAATATATATAATAAATATATAATAATAATAAAAATTGCTGTGCTATATTATATATATTTCTCAAACTTTAATAACAAAAAAAATCTGAAAATTTCAAGCCAGTGCCTATACCTCTAATACAACTAATTATACCACCAGCACTCTCTTAAAACCACACAGGAACTAGAAATGCTCAAATTAACATATGACCATTTGTGGGGGTACAAGGTAGAGGGCTCAAATTTAACCAGGAAAACAAAAGGGACACACAGAATTCATTATCGTAAAAGTAGTTCATGACTCGAAAGGCTAAGAACCATTATCAAGATGGCATCAAACCGACGAGGAAGCATATGTCATGTAACATCCAAAAGCTTACACAGAAACAGTAAAATACTGGCTCAAGAACGAAGAGAGAAGACTATGCTAGCACAGTGAAAATGGGAATCTGGCAGTGTAGCTCTGTTTAGAGTGCTAGATGAGTGAGTACTTACAAAACCATCATACAAGCCAGGAAACAGAGTATGGTTTTAAAGCGAAATTATATTTAATTTCTGAAAAAGACAAATGAGAAGAAAGGAAACTACGGAAACCAAGGTCCAAAATGCAAGCAGAGGGTAGTTTCAAGGCTACTCCACATTTAGCACAAAGCAGTTATGGAGGGCAGGAAAGACCAGTGTCACTGGTCAGGGTGACACTGGAGGTGACAGCAGTATATTCAGTCAAGATTCCTTCCCCAAGAGGCAAGTAGGCAGCAAAGGCATCTGTCTATGTTAGGGTGACATGTGGACACAGGAAGCGAAATAGTGCTGGACTCATAGAAGTGCACTGGAAAGCCAACTGGTGTATACCCCCCAAATCAAACATTTGAGAGAATAAGCATCCTTGAAAGTAAGCAACAAATGCCAACAAGAGCTCTACAAGAGGGCCATGGATTCTCATTTCCAGAGGAAGCCTGACTGGTTACAGGTTCTAGCACCATGTGCCTGGCTCACAGTGACATGCTGTGTGGTTCTGCTTATGCACTGTATTGTAGCTTCTTCATAGTCTACATCATGAGGTGGCTATGAATAGCAACTACACGGCACCTGCGAAGCTGCTACTATTATGATTAACACACATAGTAAAAGCCCATTTCCAAGTTTTAAGAAAAACATGATAACCTAAATCATAGATAGGCTACTTTAACAGGCAAAAGTAAAGAGCAAATCACAAGGTTAAAAAGTATGAAAAATTGAGAAATCAAGAGACATTCAGAAGTGTTTACACTCATAAAGATCCCTAAGGGCTACAAGGATGGAGGGCAGAATAGGTTCCAAACATAGAACTCAAAATGCTACTAATGATAAAGTCTAATTCACTCATTCAGAGAAGCAAATGATACTCTATAGAGAAACAGCAAAATTGAACACATTCTTCAGTGTGACTACCTGATGCTATAAGGTAATAGAGTTAATATTAAATATTTCTCTGAGAAGGGGATTTTTAGGATCAGAAAAGTTAAAACTCTACTTGTGCAACACTGGAATCCCCACACCACAGAATTAACTTCAAAAACAAGCCCCAGACGCTTCAATTACTGGTGTGTACAAAAACCGCACAGCACTGCAGAGCTCCAGTTGCACTTTTAAGCAATAATTAGTCAGGAGCACCACCCTAGAAGAGTAGAGTGGCATCCCCAAATCTTGTGACAATACTGAATGGATAAGCCAGTACCATAGCAAGAATCAAGGCTTAAATTTTTCCTAAAAAACCTTACTCCAGCCAGGCAGTGGTGGCGCACGTCTTTGGTCCCAGCACTCGGGAGGCAGAGACAGGCATTTCTCTGTGAGTTCAAGGCCAGTCTGGTCTGTAAGAGCTAGTTCCAGGAAAGCCAGGGCTGTTAGACAGAGAAATCCTATCTCGAAAAATCAAAAGAAAAAAATAAAAAATAAACCCTTACTCCAACTAATGGTTAATAAACAACATGTTTTACAAACCAGGGACATGTTTCAGTACCAAGGCTCTCTTTGGGGTATTTTCCCTTAAGTCATGACCTCCCCTCCATGGGCAAATTTTATTAGAGCCATCGGCTCTGCAGCCACTTCTCTCTCTACAGTAGCATCTTCTACTTAAGATGGTTATGATAACTCACTCTAAAATTTCCCCCAAGAGACCGGAGTCATACCAAGGTTCTGAGCCCATGATGCAACGTTATCTCCCTGTTTGGACCTTCCCTCTCATTTCTAAACCAGAGTTGTCTGCCTTAAGTGATATTTCCCCCTCTAGATGCCAGAAGGGTACCCCAAACTCAATATTCAATCAAACCCATGACAGGACCCAAGTCAAACTACATCTGTTTTCAGAGTCTAGGTGTCACCCTTCCTGCTGTGGGACAATGGTCTGTATCCTGTCACTTATATTTTAAATAAATGCTGATTGGCCAGTAGACAGGCAGGCGGGGTGAAGAGAATTCTGGGAAGAGGGAAGTGCAGTCCACAGTTGTGACCCAGCCTCACAGGAAGCAAGATGTGACTGCCTCACCAAAAAAAGGTACCAAGCCACGTGACTAAACTCAGACAAGAATTATGGGCTAATATAAGTTATAAGAATTAGCTAATAAGAAGCCTGAGCTAAAGGGCCAATCAATTTATAACTAATAAAGACCTCTGTGTGATTTCTTTGGGACTTAAGGGATGCAGGACCGGGCTGGACAGAAAACCTCAGTCAACACCTTCCCTCATATCTTAGATCTCAAAATGTCAGCCTTCTAATTGTCTATTACGACACAAATGTAACCACACTACACCTCTCTTCATCAGACCCCTCACAGGCTTTATATTTCCAATCTACTTCTCATCAAAGTGGTAGAAGCTCACACATGACTGTTCAGTCTTACACCAAGCTAGCTCCCTACTTTCCATGCTGATCTTCAGTCCTGCAGACTCGCCTCCCTTCCCAATGCCACAGTCCTTAGACTATTAAGCCCATGATCACCTGGGGGCACTGTTGTTATCCCATTAGCCTGATTAACTCACTCTATGAACCTCGGCACATTTCTAAGGACACAGTGTACTTTCTTTGCCATGTTTGCAGTCATCACCTGCTGAAAAGAGTGTCCCGGGCTACAGTTCTGCATGGAGATGAGTGTAAAGGCTTTCTGTCACACAGTCACAATACCACAACATAAGTCTCTCCAAAATGACAACATTTTAGTTGTAATACTTGAGATCCATGCCTGAAGGAAAGCAAGGCATTAAGAGTCTATTGAACCTTAGTCAAGGGCTAAAAACCTGAACAGAAATGGAAGCACAAGTGCTGGATCTTTGTTTAGTCTCAACATTCAATACCGGCAGGAGGCAACTCTCTGAGAGTGTATCTCATGTGTTCAAGTTCATTACATCTGTCTATATTTGAATAAGTCTTGAGCACTATTCTTGTCAGTTTTATAAGTTAACTCTCATTTTGTAGCTTCTCTTTCCACTCTTCCAGTGGTATTTTAAATTACATGGATTTGACAGAAGGAGGCATAGGCTTGCCAAGGTCAGAGGACAACTTGCAAACATCTTTTCTTTCCTTCTACCATGTGTGGCCCAAGTTATCTCAGCAAGCAAGTGCTCTTACCCTCTGAGCAATCTTCTTAGCAAGCCAACACTGTTTAAGTATTTAGTTTCTCTTTATGTGTATGTGAGTTTATGTGCACTACGTACATGCAGGTGCCTGTGGAAGCCAGAGGGTGTCAGATTACCAGAAGCTGGAGTTGTGAGTCACCTATGTGGCACTGAGAATTAACCCAAATCTCTGCAAAAGAGCAGTACCCACTCTCAACTGTTGGGCTACCTCTCCAGTCTCCTCCCCATGGTGCTTTTTAAAAGAATTCTTGACATAAACCTAAATTTACACCCCATGACAGAACTACAGCTTTTGTTTTTGCAATGAAAAAACAAAAAGTACAAGAGCAAGATAAAGAAAAAAGTAGGGGAAAGACGTTCTCTCTTTGCCCCATCTACTGTGAGAATGAAGACCATTCTCAGCAATCAGACGGTCAACATTTCAGAAAATGTGGACATCACTCTGAAGGGGCGCACAGTCATTGTGAAGGGCCCCAGAGGAACCCTCCGGAGGGGTTTCAATCACATCAATGTAGAGCTGGCCTTCTTGGGAAGAAGAAGAAGAGGCTCCGGATTGACAAATGGTGGGGCAACAGGAAGGAACTGGCCACCGTCAGAACCATCTGCAGCCATGTTCAAAACATGATCAAGGAAGGGTGTTACACTGGGCTTCCGCTACAAGGTGAGGTCCATGTATGCTCACTTTCCCATCGACGTTGTTATTCAGGAGAATGGGTCTTTGGTTGAAATTCGAAACTTCTTGGGTGAAAAATATATCTGCAGGGTTCGGATGAGGACAGGCGTTGCTTGTTCTGTCTCTCAAGCCCAGAAGGATGAATTAATCCTTGAAGGGAATGATACTGAGTTTGTTTCAAACTCGGTGGCTCTGATACAGCAAGCCACGACAGTTAAAAGCAAGGATATCAGAAAGTTTTTGGATGGTATCTATGTTTCTGAAAAGTGAACAGTGCAACAGGCTGACGAGTAAGACCTAAGTTACCAGCTCCAGAAACAATATCCTGAATTTTAATACGATTTGGGGTGTCTTTTGGGACAATAAAAGACTTGTACTGATTTTGGGGAGGGGGAGAAGAAAGTAGGTAGAAAAATAATGCTCTGCTCTAGTGTGATCATAAAGATAATGCTCATTTTCTTCTTCATGATACTTCATGATGAACAGTTTAAGTTTACCCATTAGATCCTCAATAAATCTGGAACTGATAATCACTACAGTTTTGAATTAAATCCTGGAATACGAGGAAACATTTTTACTAGTAGTTTTTAGTTTGTCTCTTTGAATTTCTAAATTGTTTTTTATTTTAGGTTTGGTACAGGGTCTTACTATG